TATGTTGTTTTTTTTTATTGTCTGTATAATTACGTATCTAAGTTCTTGTTGATTACTACACCGTAACCTTGATCCATAGCTACAAATGCATCACATTCAGAGAGATAAAAAATGAGATTGAACGAACCAACAAACATTGCCATACAACACTTTATCATTCGTGATTCAGCATTCGTTGGGTTCAATTTCAGTCGGATCAATTCGCCGTTCGTTAAATTAGGTAATGTGCATGTTATTTTTTGTCTGTTTCTGTTTCTTCTTCTAAATTTGACTTGACCGATCGAATGCTGTGTGTGAGTGTTTGAGCTTGTTTTTTTTACTTTGTAAATTTTTCACTCAACTACTAGTTTCTATGCTACGAACGTGATGAGTTTTGAAGTAACAAACTCGTAAGTAAAAAAAAATCTGAAGCATAAACGAATCACCAACACATATTGAATGAAGAAATATCATCACCAATTTTGTTGCATTTATATAGCTTTGATGATCACTCCGTTTGAGCTTAATTTCACACAAATCTTCGGTTGTTATTATGTCCGTTTATTTTAGTACTTTCTAGGGGCTTCACTCACTTCCAAAAAGTTCAAATTACTGTGGATTTTCGTGTTTAGGTAATATTCGGGACATGTCAAACATTTAGGTCCAATATTCCAACTCGACAGCCAATACCAACTCATCGCAAAATGTGTTTTTTTATCAAATTAATTTGCATTAAAATAAATTCAATTCGAAACAAAAAAAGTTGAATTTTTCTAAAAAATAATAATGAAATTGTATGTTTTTCTTTGAATCCATATTCGTATTACTGCACTACAGTCAATCCGAAGTGGTATTCCACTTGTGTACAGCCCATAACTTTATTATGCAAATTGGTGTTGCACGTATATCCAGCACGTAGACATATGATTTACACGGAGATGTCTCCTTTGTTGTAGTCATTCTAACGTGTTGTTCAAGGACTCATTCAAATGAATATTATTTGCTGCGCATACTTATGTTTATTCGATGGTGAGTTCAATCGTTTATGGCCAAAAGCAATTGAAATTCCACCGTATTTCCAATAATTTAATGCAAAATCAACATATTTGTCTTAAAAAGCTGAAATTATACTGATCAAAAGTGAATTCTTGCAAAATAGCTAAATGCAGCACGCGTTTGATTTGAAGAGCGACCTACCTATGCGATTGGTTGGTTCGATTACAAGTAACTGGTAAATACGGCCAAAGTAAAATTGACGAATACTTGTTAATTTGCTTAATATGGACAGTCGCATAAAAACATATCAAAAAACAAAATTAGCTCGGATTCTTTTGTTGACAGTGTTGAATCGGAAAATTTTCAAGGTTTTAAGCTTTCAGCATAGCACTCATTTAGTATAGCTATACTGCTATATAAGTAGTGTGTGGATGCTATGCATACCGTAGATTAATGAATTGTAATACGGCTTGGAAAATTGAACGATAACCACAATTGTATGATTGAAACAATCATAACAAAACAACAAAATAATTCGTGATACAATTTTATTTATTCAATTCTAAAGTAGCATTTTCATGTTAATTAATTGTTTCAATTGCTGTTGCGCAATCACATTGTATGAGAACGAAATCACGACGAAAAATCAACATACCGAATAATTTGATCAACCGAAACATACTTCGAAATGTTCTAATTTATGGAATTCATAGTTTCGTTTTACCTTCATTGCCTTCATATACAAGGTTTTCATTCACAGCATGATCCAAAAGTGTTAAAAGAATCAAGTTGATAGGAGATAGTTCTTCTCTATTCAGTGTCTGTGTATTTTTTTCGTGGGTCACCAATTAAATTTAGAGAAGGTTGGTGAGAGAAGTGCCTTCAAATTTATATGAGAAAACAAAAGGTTTTCAACTCACAAAAAAAATGACCAGTGAATTAAATGAAATATCCACTATTACATGCATTTGCAAGGCAAAATTGCAATCAAAGTAATGTTTCAATTATTGAAATGGCACAATAACGCATACAATTAATCGTTGTGTACATATAATGGAAAATCAAATAATTTTATTTCCAATTATGTAAGTGACGGATGAATGCTTTTGTAGAACATGTTTTCAGCCGATCACAATTTTCGTCATATGGCTAAATTGCAATTTCTTTCGATTTTCATTTGGTAATCGAGTAAACTGCAACATGCAATTATTGATGTTTAATTCTTGGTAAATTTGGGTAGAGGTTAAAACGCAACAATTGCAATAAAATATGGTTCACTTTTCCACTTATGGGTGCATATATACGTATATATTCTTCTTCGTTATATCGTAATCAATATTCCTACATATATTAGCGTTGCTTATATTGGTATGCGGCGTTGAACAGATGGAAACCTAGACATGCTTTCCATTTCATTTTTGCGGCGTAGTTACACCAGTAGACAAATGATTGAACTAGCGAATGAAGAAGAAATAATCTGATGAAACTTGTTTTTTTTAATAAACATAACAACGGCAAACAATTAAATATTGCACACGACGTACGTGTTTACGTCACATTTAATTCAAGGTGATGTGGTTTGTATATACACCTACGTACAATTCTTTTTTTTTCATTTCGGTTTGAGTTTCCCTTCATCGAGTTTATCACACTGAAAAGTAGTGTAGTATCTTCGAAGGAATTATTTTATAACAAATTTGTTCAATTTTTTTTAAAAAGGTTTTTTTTCCATTATTTTCCTATTAATTTCCCTTTGTAAATATATACTTAATTACATGCTCTTTTTATCTACATTAGATGTTAGTGGGACAAAAATGCCGTCTTTAGTAATTATCATCTCGTCTTGATTTCAACAACAGAACCTGTTTAATTGTATAACTGAGCTAAAGCAGTCGAGATGCTAAAAATGACTTGCAATTTGATTGCACAGAATAATTGCTGGAGAATATGTATTCTTCTGTTGCTTTACTCTTATCATCTTAGCAACAATAATAACAATTATTGATTCTATCGCGTCTAATTTATCCAAGCAGCTCGATTGTATTCTAAAATTGCGACATGCAAATTACGAGAACGCCGCATATCAACGCAGATCAGCCGATCTGTACAGCAGTGTATACTTGCCTTGAGTTTAAATCAAAGAAAATCTAATCAATGTATTCTAAGGTAGCAGATGAGCGACTTGAAAAAGTTCGTAAAATTATCAGCACGACATTCTGCGATTTGTGTAGTTCTAAATTATTGTTAAAAAAAAATCCAGCTCTTAGAATCGAATTTTTAATCAAACTAGTAACGCATCTACATAATGCTGCTGGATCCTAATCGTAGGAAGCTCAATGGCACTATCGACAACAACGACTACAACAACAAATATATATAAAATCTAAATAAATGCAATAAATCGTCATTGTGCTCAATTTCAAGTCATGATTCACATATTGCTACAAATTCTTTCAACATTTATGTGTCCTTCGACACCCAATGCTTGTGCATAATTCTTTGTCTTTATCGTTCACATTGATTCAAATATGATATCATGTCAGAGATGTTAATTGCAAAGATTTTTACATCTCTGGTAAGCATACAAACGAAGAAATTCTATTCTTTGCAGCAAAAACTACAAAAAATCCCCCTTATTGGTAATCATTCTTCTATCATTACTCAACAACTCTTAATTTTGACAGAGTCGAGGTCGTATATTTAGTGTGCGAATATTTTATTAATAACATTCGTTCTTATGAAGAACTTCCCCGCCATTCTCTTTCATCGTTCAATACACCAAGTGTGAATGCAACCAATAACGGGTTTTGATTGATTAACACAATTCAATCAATTGGCTTTGTTTGGCTTTTGAGCAATCAATGATGACAGCAACATATGATTATCGTCAACATATCTATCGGTATGACCACCGGATTTTTCTATCAAATACACCGAGCTTTAATTGCTTCCGCACCGAATGCTTAGAACATTGACTTGTACGCATACATCTTGGTTATATGTTTGGTTACGTTTATGTTTTCTGTGTGAGTAACACCTAATGGCTACCAGATGATGTAATTTCCAAATAGATGTCTGGTTTTCAACGAGGTGAGAATTGAAAATTGTTGTAACATTTCTTGAACTCTTTTCTGGTCAAACTACTTTATAAAGAAAACCTTCATCAAAATTTACATTAGTGTTGGAATTGAATTGGTCTTAACCGCAGATTAGAAAGAAAAAAAACTACCAAAATGTGGGTGATTCGATGTGTCTAATCAGAATACTTTATTACTTTGGCCATGCCAGTCCTTAAAATATTTAGTACGTGCCGAATTAATCTGAATAAACACAGATTCAGCAAAAAAGTGTTTATATTTTTCTTTGAATTAATCTTTCGTTATGATGGTATTGTTCGAAAAAGTAATAGGTGAAAAAAACGTTACTCACAAATCGAGAATATTACCTCTTGTAACATGTTGTGTCATTCGGTTAATGTTTTGTCTACATATCTATACATAGTACGCCCATTCAATCTATCCCAGTGATGACACATTTTAATTGTGTGTTGAACTTCAGCTGTAATCAACAAGTACTTTTCAATGTCAATGTTTATGTCCGCGATTTTGACATTAGTGTTAAGATCAATATATACAAGTCATTATTCCATTGATACTTGACGGCGATCCATCAAATTAATAATCTACATAATCTGAATGTCAAATCGATAGGCACGCATATCATGTATTTTCCATTTGTCTTCAGCATTCCAACAAAGACGTTAATTAATGTTCGAATGTATGTGTACTATTTATTGTAGGATGAAGAGACCATGAAATAGTCTCGGTTTTTTTCGGCCCCCATGGATGTACTACAGTCAAAGACTTTAAGCCATATCGAAGCAAATACCGGTTGAAAATCGTTTTTTTAATAGTAAACAAATTGGTCTTTTTCAGTCGGCTCCATATCGACCCATTTGGAATTGTTTCAATAGAGAATGTATATGTTCATTGTTTTAAATGGCTTGCTGTCTAATTGATACATACCAGTCAATTCTAATGGATGCTGTGTGCAATGATGAACGTTGGTTGGCAGTTGATTTGGCGAACTCTTGTTCGTTTCTATCGCGCTTTGAAACGATTCCAGAATACTATTTTCAAGCTCAATGAAAGCAAATCACTATGAATATTTTTTGCACTTAACGTTCATTCAAAATTGAATTAAAACGTTTTACACACATGTAGAATTTTCTCTGTCGTTTTTAATTCACTCAAATTGCATTCACAAAATTGATATAATGATTGTTCGTCTTCCTGTTTCTTATGCTGCTTCTTTCCTTTTTTTTCGTATTTCTTATATTATATTGTGTCAATACAAATCATACAATCTGTGGCGCAGCAGCAAGTACACGACACCAGAGCTGACTATGATTAGATGATGGAAAAAAAAGTGATAGCACGTAATGACGCGGAATGACAAAATATGGCAGTGGTCAACGTCAATTGTTTTAGATACTGGAGACGATTTCGATAGAGCAAACAAGTCAAGTTGGGCTCAGTCGTTCAGTCACTCACGCGTCATACACTCTTTAGAACGTTATATTGAGTCTTGCAACGATGTGTTTCGCTGACAAAAATGATGTCGTGATATTTCTTACACTATATATTGTTATGATATTCTTTTTTCTTTTCTCCATCGGACGGACGGCACAGAATACATGAGCAGCAACCACACATTGATTTATTCGAATGAATTTAATGCATAATTTCCGTTACACATTCGTTCTGTTGAAATTAGTTTTAAAGTAAATATATTAGATCGGATCACAAAACGCACAACTGGCTGGAAAATAATCGGTTTTGATCGAAAAAAATTATTCAACACATTTTATCCTACTACTAAATCTTTTCAAACAAAATATTTCGACCAAAACCAATCATTTTCGCACACATAATTTTGGTTTATTTCATTCAAAAATATTGCAACGACGAAAATTGTCTCAAACGCCGTTTCATTCAACGTTTAGACGTTCTTTTTTTCAAAAGAGGGGCCAAATCGATCCAAAAATTATTGATATTGTTAGATTCCTGCGAGGACTACGAGACATAAGAAACGTCGCACTGAACACATAAGAATATTCTAGAATTTGATAAAATGTTATCACAATTTTATCAACGTAAAATTTGAATATTTCTCCTTTTTTTCCTCTATTTTGAATAGGTCATCAAAAATGGCAATTTAAAATAGGAGAACAAAACCGATTACAACCGAGAAAAAAAATGAAACTAATTCAAACAGAGCGATAACACAGATGATGAAGCAGCGATCTTACGTTTTCTGCGTCTACTTCAAACAACGGCAAAATATTAACTAATTGGTAAAGTTTTATTTAATATTTAATTTACTGCAAAAGACATTGTAAAATGTTCACTTTTTGCGTTGCCTTTGCTGCTGCTGCTGCTACTACTGCTTTGGCTGCCGTTTTCTGTAGTTCATCGTTTTCTTTACAAGTTTTGTGATGTGTATATCTGTTTCACTCTCGGTCTCTCGCTGTCTCATTCTAGTCAACACGGTCGCTCGAAGACTCGCGATTCAATGTTGTGCTGTGTGTCTTTGAGAGCGCTCGCACGTTTTATGTTTTTATTGCCTACTATTTGGCTACAGTCAAATGTTCTCTGTCTTTGCTCTGAGAGCGTGTTTTGCATTGCACACGTAAAAGTTAAACCGAAGACCGTAAAGCAACAGCAGCTCATAAGAAGAGAATGAATAAATAAAGGGAAAAAAAATCCATGAAATTGGTCACATGTGTGTATCGCGATGGAAACACGCATTGTATTGAAGTGTATGAATTGAAATTGAATTTCGTGTATTGTAGTGCTGAAATGAATTTTGCTATGCTCACAGATGGGCATACCTATTCGTTTGTTTAGTTATCGTATACCATCCAAATTGTAACATAGTCTTAAAATAAACCGCTTTTCTGAAAAAATACAAATAAGTTATATATTCATATCGGAAGTTTTTTTCGTGATCTTCTCAAATATGATATAAAAAACAACAGTTACCCTTCAAAGTTTAGCAGAAATTGCTCCATTTGTTCAATTGTTCCAATTTGGATGGTTTACGATATGTATGGACATTTTATCGCAATATTTCTAGCATGTTATGACAAATTGACGTTTTTCCACAATGCAATTGTGAAATAATCAGAATGGTAGTAAGACAGTTGAATAGCTTGCCCATCTCCGACAATATTCTCCAAATAGTTTTTGTTTATGTCTTTTTCAATGGTTGACTTTGCAATGTTGTTGCAATCCACAATTATAGTTTTTTTTTAATTGTTTTGGCTCAACGCTTCAACACAAGTGTGGCTATTTTGTTTTTCTAAATGTGGCCGTTTTCATTATCGCAATCGTTTTTGAGATGCTTTACGGCGCAGTCCATACTAGTTGCAGTAACGTTGATCGTGCGTGCTACGGTCTGCTAATTCATTTTCTTCTGTCTTCGATTTCAATTATCCGCATTATTTTCATTGTGTATTCCCATAAACTTATCTCTCCCTAGCCAGAGATTTCAACGAAAGAAATCTTGAATTCCGTCAGTCGCTCGTTACGTTTGCATTACCCAAGGAACAAAAATGTAACCATTTTCAGTAGATTTCACCATCGCGTAATGAAACGTTTTGGCCCATTTTCGTGGTAATTTCAGTGTTATATTTAACGTGGATTATGTGCATGGTTCCCAATAAAATGACACCTTCCAATGAAATATTTTAACGCAATGCATATTATTCAAAATGTAACAAATAACGGACGGTTCACATTATGCTCGCTCCATTCTACACAGACCGTACAGCAGATATACAAACACGAAAGAAAGAATGTGAGAATGAACCGCATACAGAAAGAACAATCAAGTAACATAGCTATGTGTACTGTTGCTCTCGTGTATCCTCTGTTGCTTCTCCGCTTCGTTCGTTTCATTCTTGTGTGTGTGCTGGAGCAAGAATATTTTCATAACAAATCGAAGTCTGACTGTGGCGATCGAATTGACAGCTCTCACTGTTTCTGCGTGAAGAACAGTGCAGTTTTTGTGTTCTGAATTTCATAACGATGCAAAATATCTATTTTGAGTCGAATTCAAACGAGATTTTGAGTGTTCGTCAACACATTTTTCTGGATTGTGCTGTT